CCGTATGAAAGAGGTGTCGACATCTTCGCTACTGATATTAGCAAGGCTGCTTTGAAGTGCCCCCATAAACCTGCACGTAATCACCAGCGACAACGACTGGAATACGTCAACCGCTTTCAACAAACAACTGATCCAGGACCTCGCGATCGCACAACGTCATTTAGGTCTGATACGCAGAAGGTAATCGCCCGTTAACTGCATACAAACAACACACGACAGATGAGCATATCACAGGCAAAGATGGTACCGTCGAGACTAGAACTGCCACCTGCCACTAAAGATCATACGAAAAGAAAAGCAAGTAGCCACGATGAAAATGAAGAAGAAGAAACAGGAATACGAAGGAGTAGGGAACGAATAAGATGAAGGCGACGATGGCGATGGTAATATTGGAAGTAATGGCGATGATGGTGACGAGGATCACGATGCTGATGATAACTGGAAAAAAACATAACGGTGATGATGATGACGACTACGACGGTAAGAAAAACTGACGGACTATGCATGTGCTTCCTACTATATGCAGCCGTCACAGACCTAGAGATCACAAAAGAACAGAACAGCATCGATGCGCCACCCGCGAAATTCCGCTACTTTTGAATCCCGCAACACGGTATCACATCAACAGATATGAGCCACCACACAAAGCGCCGATTTTACAGGTGCTTCGAGCCGCAGTCAGGTTTCAAATGTCCCCCTGGTGAACAAAATGTCAACACGGTTACCGGTGATGCAGGGCTGTTGTCGGACATCGTCACACGTGCGCCTTCAGTAGTAACAGGGGGAGGCGAAGCGGCGGCTGGCCACGAAAGTACACTAACTACACACCGGCTCCGCTGTCACTCAATAACACGACCAGGGTACACAGTGTTTCCAAGTGGTTTCGTCTTGAGACTTACACAACAACTTTCAACTTCTACGTCAGGTTATGGAGGTAATACAGCGCGAAACCCTACTGCAGCCGAGAAGGTGTAAAGCTCCTGCGGTTTGTTGAGATGAGCACCCAGAGCCGTGCGCATAAGCATAACGTCTCCGGTTTATGATATCCGTTATATGTGCAACTTTTCGATACCTTTGCTCTAAGGCACAGGTTACTGAATCGCAGAGGGAAATATTCCACCCCGAAAGCACATCGGCCTCTACCTTATTCCTCTTTTTGCATGCTGGCCTCCAAGTCGACGTCTACTGCGTTGGCTCTCATGCGAGAAGCTCATGGAGTGTAGCTAATGGCGTAACTCGACAAGTAAGTACCTCGGATTCAACCTCATTTTTCTAAGCTGTACATTTCACCAGCCCGCTGTGCCCGGATAACAAGAAAGTCACTCCCTAAGTTGTCCTGCATTTAACCTCCATTATGCGTCGAGGCTAAAGCTGAAGTACAGAGTTCAACCTTCTTTATCGATGCTTCGTTAGAAAAACTGTCTCCATGCCGTCAACTAATATTCACTTGACAG